AGTTGCTTTAGTTTTATTTATAAACAGACTCGGGTTTTTGCAGCACTGATGCCTGTGCCGCTGGGGAAGCGAAAAACTTTCCTCTTCCCCTGGATCCGCCTATGGCTTGGATAATTTTCGGCGAAAATCGCTTTTTTCATTTGTTTTTGATCATTTGCGAGCGGTTTTGGAATCCTTGTAGCTTTTGAAGCAAAATTTGTGTGTGATCTAAAAATTGCTCATTTCGAATGTTTTGAAAATTATTAAAATTTACATCCACCACTTTAGTTTGGGCGTCATGTTTTAGTGCGTGGTGCCCCAAGGGAATGTGAACGACTACTCAAGTGATCTACGAAGAGATTGTGCTCATAGATCAACAGGAGGTGCTGGGTACCAACCGTCGGAATACAGCTCAGGATTGAAGAGCCCGTTGAGTGAGGAAGCATCCCAGTACTGTAACTAGCATGTAGTTCCCTCATCGATTCTTCAGGTAGTCCCCGTGGTTCGTTGTACGTCCGCACTGACGTACTTAAGTAAAATAATTTTTGATTTCGACTTGATTACAGCGGTTCTTGAATCACTTTTTTTCTCTTTTGCACCCATAAAACTGAAAATTTTACTTGTCTGGCCTGGTCGGGCACCTCAGACAGTGCTACAGGCGTTACTGTCTGAGAATGGATGCGTAACACTTGAAAACAAGGGCCCTATCACGACATAGAGACAGACACACAAACACACTCACACATTTAATATTTCGGATTCACTTATTTTCAGGATCGTGATCTAGAATCAGTAATGAGCGACTCGACTGCCGAAGATGAGGTGTACGATAAGAAGACACTGGTCAAACGGTCACATGGATTTGAACCGAGCACAGACGGTGGCACTGAACGTTACAGGACCGAAGTGACCACAACAACAAAATCTAAAGGAGTGACCAAGAGCTGAGCTGTTTCCGTTTTCAAATTCTCGAAAAATCCTTCCTTGCTAACCTGTTATCAGTACGCCTACGTGTTCCTCAGGTGAACACTCACTGTGCCACGAATCGTTGTTACTTTTTTTTATTATCATTGTGGTTATTGTCATTATCGCGATCACTGCTATCGTTATCATCGTTTTCCGCTGCCATCTTTTTTCTTATAACGAATCCGATCATTTTCACATCTTTTTTTTG